GCTGTGCTGGCCCCACCCCCAGGGTGCAATGAGACAGCAATTGACACTGGGCATGGTGGTGCACGCCTGCAATCCCAGCTCTTGGAAGGAGGTAAACAGGCAGATCACTATGAGTCCAATCTAGTGGTGAGACCCTGAACACACTGTAGACCATTCCCTAAAATAAAAAAATACAATAAATAAATAAATAGGGGAAAAACTGAAATCTTTTACTCTCAGATCTGGTACAAGACAAGGACATCCTCTATCACCACTCCTATTCAACTTCTGGAATAATTAGCCAGAGCCATTAGACAAGAGAGCAAAATGAAAGAATAGGTAAAGAAGAAGTTAAACTATCATTATTTGCAGATGACATGATACTCTACTTGGAAGACCAAAAAAACTCCACCAAGAAGCTACTAGAACTAATACAAAGTCAATACCCAAAAATCAATAGCATTCCTCTATACAGATAACAAACACACTGAGAGGGAAATTAGACAAACAATACCTTTTTTTTTTTTTTAATTTTTATTTATTTGTGTGTGTGTGTGTGTGTGTGTGTGTGTGTGGCCAGCTCAGCCCACCAGGGGGCGGGGCTGGCTGGCATGTGGTGCTGGGGGATTGAACCGTGGTCCCTGTGCTTTGCTAAGCTTGTTCTAAGTAGGTGCTTTAGACCACTGAGCCATCTCTCCAGCCCAACAATACCTTTTATAATAGCACCATGGAAAATGAAATACTTAGGAATTAATCTAAAGAAGTAAAAGATCTATTCCATGATAATTACAGTACTCTGAAAAAAGATTGTAGAGGAGTTCAGAAAATGGCTACTGGATTGGAAGAATCAACATTGTGAAGATGGCCATACTCCCAAAATTGTTATACAGATTTAATGCAATCCCTATCAAAATATCACCAACATACCTCACAGACCTAGAAAAAGCATTCCTAAAATTTATTTGGAACCAGAAAAGACCTAGAATAGTAAAGGCAATCCTGGGCAACAAAGACAAGGCAGGAGGAATTACAATTACTGAGCTGAAATTATACTACAAAGCTGTGATAAAATCAGTATCTTGGTATGAGCAAAAAAACAGAACTGAGGATCAAGGGAATAGACTAGAAGATACAGAAGCAAGTACAAACACACTCAGCACGTTATCTTCAACAAAGAGGCCAAACATGCTTACTGGAAGAAAGATAGCCTCTTTAACAAATGGTGCTGGAAAAACTGGCTCTCTACATGCCAAAAACTAAAACTTCACCATGCACTAAACTAAAGTCAAAATGGATTCAAGATATAAACATTAAAACAGAAACACTAAATCTCCTGGAAGAAAAAGATGAGCTCTTGAAGACATAGAGGTAGGCAAACAGTTCATGAACAAAAATCAAACTGTATGACTAATACGTGAAAGAATTAACAACTAATTATTATTATGATTATATTAGATTAATTATAATTATTATTATATTAGTCAAACTGTATGACTAATACGTGAAAGAATTAACAACTAATCCTCTTTTTTTGCATGTCAAAAGAAATTACTAACAAAGTGAAAAGACAACCCACAAATTGGGAAAAACATCTTAATAAGCACTCAGACAATGTTCTTCTCTCCAGAATTTATAAAGAACTCAAAAACATTAGGGCCCCAAAATTTAAAAACCCAATCCAGAAATGGACATCCGAGATGAATACATATTTCTCAGAAAAAATTCTAGAAGCTAATTCATACATGAAAAAATGCTCCACCTCACTAGCCATCCATGAAATGCAAATTAAAACAACACTGAGATACCATCTCACCCCAGAAAGAATGGCTATCATAAAGAAATCAACGAACAATAAATGTTGTGGGGAAAAGGGACTCCTTCTCTACTGTTGGTAGAAATGTAGACTGGTACAACCATTATGGAAATCAAAGTGGAGACTCCTCAAAAACTAGCACTGGAAATCCCATTCAATTCAACTATCCCCTACTGGAAATTTTCCCAAAAGAACTGAAAATATCATATGATAGTGATATATGTGCACCTATGTTTATAGCAGCACAATTTGTGATAGCCAAATCTTGGAAGCAATCAAAATGCCTGTCACATGAGGAATGGATGAAAAAAATGTGGTATTTTATAGAATGGAGTATTACTCAGCTATAAAGAATGATAAACTCGAAGCCTTTATATTTAAGTGGATGCCACATGAAGATATAAGTGAAATAAACCAGACCCACATGTGTAAATATCGTATAGTCTCCCTAGTGTAAGAAGAAGAAATAAAAATAGAAAGGTATAACACAATTAAAAGGAACGCGAGAACTTAAGGACTAAACAACAAAGAGAGGGCAAGAAGAAAAGCTAGGAAACATGACAGGGGCAAAAACATACATTTATATGCACAAGACAGTTAAGGCAATGGTCCTGAGACTCTTCAGCAGGTTTTTGAAACTACCAGTTAATTGGCAGGATTCTCATCCTGATTAACTATATATGCTGATACCTTTGAACTAAGCAACTGCACTAAAGATAGCAATGTGTAATACTAGGGCCATGCTTGGAATGCCTGTCAGTCCGGTCTTCTAAATACGTGCTGCTTCTAATGTCATATCAAGTACTGCTATACTGTCTCTCAAGTAAATGTTTAAAAAAAAAAAACAAAAAACAGGGTAATGAAAACAAGAGACAAGGGGAAAAAATGTCATAAGACTGTCCTGTTGTATATGGTTAGATTTAGATTTCTAAATTTCTGTATAAAAATATGTAATTGTTTATTCCTAATTTTTTGGTATTTTTAAAATTCTTTTGTTTGTTTTGTCTTCACACTCTGTAGGGATTTAAAGTTTAGCATATCAATGCTTGATGGAAAATGCCTGTTCCATGTTACGTCTAAGATGTTTGATATTCAGAAAGATAGTGAGGTCAAGCTCAACTAACTATGTTATAGGGTAATAATATCATTAAGCTTCTCTTCTGGAGGGTTAACAATTGAAATTTGCAAACCAGAAATTAGTAAAAAGAAGGGCTACAAGGACAGTCAACATTTTGGCCCTAGCCATTCAAGGTCAGTGAGGACTCAGGACATAAGTGAAACTGTACTGTAACATCCTGTAACTCAGTGGTATCCCAAATTTTCTGATCAAGAAGATTATGGGGCCAAAGAGGAAAGTGATCGATGATGTAGAGTGTGCCTAAGGAGAGTCACATGGAGAGAAAACATTCTCTCAGGCTTTCACAGAGAGCACATTGGCCAAGCAATGGCCGTGACTCATCCACATGGCTGATACTGACCAAAAAATCCACAAACTGCGGTACAGGGTTTCAGGGTAAATCCTGAGGAGATCTGATTGACCTTGGCAGATACAGAAGTTACATTCTTGCTATACAGGTCTTGCTTTATTTTGGTCTTAACCATCCAGCAGAAAAGTATAAAAAGTAAAGCCATATTAATACACTGAGCTGTAAAGGGCTCAAGTCAGCAACTTCTGACATTGCCAATTCTGTGGATAACCCACTACTACTATGGACTACTGGACTATATTGGATTATTTTGCTGAATTCACACACCTACAATATTTGAATGATGACGGAATACCCATCTCTGACAAAACTAAACAAAAAAGGGGGATATAAATGAAAGACCTTTTTATAGTGAAGAAAATGTGTGTGTATATATGTATATAGTACATATATATTTGTATATACAAAACAGGATAGATTTACAGCTTTCTCTTAGTTCAATGAAAAGATTTGTACCAACAGTACTTAGACAAGATATCATGTCTGCATCTTGTACTACGAATAACTACTTCGAAGACAATATGCAGTGTATTAATTATTGTAACTGTCCTACTAACCTGCTTTGAATCTGTCTCATTGCTATTTCTTTCTCAATAAAATTAATTTAAAAATAAAAATAAAGATACACACACAAAAGAAATAAAAAGTTTCAGATTCTATCTCAATTATCATTGCTAATGGGTGCCTTCATTGACTCTGGCATATACCTTTCCTTCTTAACCCTGTCACAGTTAAAACTTTGTATTCACTGTGACTTGTATTAATACGTTGGTTATACAGTAGTTCAAATTTTTATACTGCAGCAGTCCCACATGAAGATGTATTAAACTAAGAGTGCACTTTCATTATAATTTCTGGAATTACTGTGTAGAGCCTTGAACTGTAACTATAGTATGTTAAAAGATACCACAATAAGTAGCTTTAAGTAATTTTTTTAAATAACATTTTTAAAACCTCTCTTTTGCCTTCACTATTACAATGTTTTTACGACTATTTGCCAATTACAAACTGCTTCCAAATTAATTGAATTATCTGAAAAAATACTTTGGGAGGTATTCATTCACTTCGATTTCCATTTAGATGTTCTCTATGCTACTTACTATACTCTCAGAACACTGCTTCTTCCTTCAAGGAGAAAAAGTAAAATTTCATTTTAAAAAGCTCTTTTGATTAAATAAAGTTCATACCAAAAGTGACTGGCTGGTAATCATAATAAATATTAACATTTCTTTTCTGTATCTATTTTGTGCCTATTTTCCAAAAACCAACAAAATTTACAAATACAACTTAGCCACCATGAATTAAAGTTGGACATGAAATAATATAAATATTTAATATTAACTATTTTAAAGTTTATTACATCATTTACAAAAACTTTAGGATAAAAAATACAATTTCTTTAAAAATCAAACCTTCAAAAGTAAAATTAAATTATAAACAAGAACATTTAATTTCATATTTTAAGAAGTTTACTATTTAATACTCTTAAGTGTTTCCACCTGGATCCAGTGTCTAACAATCACAATAAAGCTGGTAAAACCTGAAAATTGTATGAACATGTGTTGAAGCTAAGGATAACTGTGTTGTTAGTGACACCTTTGTAGGCAAACATGTCTCATCCAAGTAAGTACATAAACAGAAGAGGTAATACATAAAGTCCCAACCTGTGTAAGACAAGTAACTCATTTTGGCTGCTCCACAGAGCAACAGAAAGCACTTACCCAAAGGTTGTTCTCATAATAGAAAGCATCTAGAAGCTTGACTATATTTGGGTGATCACAAGATGCTAATATATCAATCTCAACCATGTAATCTTCAAGTTCTTCCTCAGATTTGGTGTCAATCACCTTTGCAGCTGCTAAAACATTGGTCTCTTTATTCTGGGCCTGAAAAGTGGAGTATCAGAAATACACATTTAAAATGTGTGGGTTTTTTTAATACAATGGTTATTAGAGTACTTTTAGCATCACAGAAACCCTGAACAGAGAGTACTGCATTCCCGCACACCCTTCCATTGCACATGCAAAGCCCCACCCCCATCAACAGTTCATACCAGGGAGTTATACTGGGTACAAATGATGAGCCTAGTGAACACACTCCTCACACTCCAAGTCCAAAGTTCACAGTCCAGCTTACAGCTGGTACTATACCTTTTTGGGGATTTCAATAAGCTGGTAACAGGGCATTCTCAAATCATACAGAAGTTTTACTGCCTTCTGTGTTTGGCCTACTCGCCACTCCCTTGCCCCTACCTCCTTGCAACCACTTTTTTTTTTTTTTCTTTTTTGGTGCCGGGGATCAAACTCAAGACCTTGCACTTGCCAGGCAGAAGCTTACACCGCTGAGCTATCTCCCTGGCTATCTTTTTGCTGCCTCCTTGGTTTTGTTTGCCCTGTCCAGAATGTCAAAGAGTTGAAATCCTAAGATATGCAGACATTTCTTTTCCTTTGGCCTTTGCTCACTTTATGGATGTACCACACTAGAATAACACTCTAATCCACTACATTTTATCAATTTTAGGCAAAAACACCTGCTAACTGCATTATGCTAGTACTTTATTATCTAGACGTTTTGTTACCTCTTTTGAATGGACTCTTCTGAACAGATTTAAACATAAATTACTACTCTATACCTACTTTTGTGAATACCTGAAAAGCTGAATACATTTTCATATTTAACCTCTACTCTTCTGAATCACTTTTTCAGCACTGGGGATTGAGCCCAGGACTCGTGTATATTAGACAGGCACACACTGAGCTACATCTCCCATCCCTGAATCACTTTTTGACAGTTATCTAATTACTGTGCATACAATACTGCCCTCTAGCCACTAAAAGTTCTGGTGGAAGAGTACTCCACTACTGTTCTAATTTTCTTAGAATTCGCTGACTCCTATATGGATGCTTTCTTACTTAGCCTAGGTGTTAAAAAAGATTTTTTTTTAAAACCAGAACTCACATTCTTTTTTCAGAAAATCCTAAATGCCCTCATTAACTGAAATGTTAAGGGGCTGCAACTGTGTGATGAACTGCAATGATGGCCACATTATGGCCCCAACCTAGCCAACAATTATAGGATAGAAGTGACCAAAAATTTACCCCTGTCCCAATTTGAGATGTGAAAAAAAAAACCTAGTAAGAAACTTGTAAAATATGATATTAAGTTTATCTCCTCAAAAAGGTACTATATATATACTTAGCCAAGTATTAAAACACATTCTCAAAAATACCTGTTCCATATTATGCCTAAGATGTTTGATATGCAGCCAGTTAGTGAGGTTAAGCTTAACAGCCTAAGATGTATGGTAATAACAATAAGCTTGTCTTCTGGATGGTTAACAACCTAAGTTTGCAGACCAAAATTAGAGAAAAAGGAGGG